GTATTGACATTAAACCTCACTTATTTACTTTCGAATGAAGTGCAAATAGACCAGCATATGCCAAGAGAAATCTAAATTTGCCGGAATTGGAAAGCATTCACGTTTTTCATTTCCATAATTCCATGGATGCCAGCTTGAAGCAGACGTCAATGGGGGATTAAGTAATGTTCGCTGAATACAGGTCCAAAAGGCTTTGCTTTGCTTTCACAACTTAGATTCAACGACTCAGGGCCTAAACATGCCGCCCTGCCTGGACGTGATAAACACTCGACAAACCTGACAAAAGTATGCAATGGAAACCACTCCAGATCGTAGCTGAAACTGCATAACCAGCACCTGTATGTCACAGGCCAGAATATTACCCGCAAGACATCCAATGCTGTCTGAGTTGTGGACGGTAGGGTGGTAACCGTTGGAACGGTAAGGATGCAGGCAGACTTGGTGTAGGATGAGAACGTTGTCACGTTGTTCTGGCAAGCTATTTAGGGAAATGTTGCATGCATACATTAGCTTTGACATATATATATATATATATATATATATATATATATATATATATATATATATTTGGTGTACAGTTTGCCGTAACGCTGTTGCAAAATTTTCATGCATTTGAACTGGTCGCTGCCCTGTGCGCTGTTTACATGTGGGTATGGTGATTTAACTCTGACATCGTTCAGGTCCTAAATCTTTATAGTGATGGCATTGCAAGTGGTTGAGGCCATATCTCTAATGTCAGAAGATGATGTGCGGGGTGACACGCATGTATCAAGCAGTCGCGTATTATTTGAATATTTTTCATATAATCGTACTTATGAATCCCCCCCTCCGCCGTTGACCCGTGACTATACCTATGGCAGCGTCTCACTGGTGTTTTAACCCATTTGCTTTACGTTCCCCTTGGGCAAAGCTCAATAGAAACAATACAAACCTTATTGCACAAAGTACCAATGATTAATAATCACCCAGCGCTTTGGCAGATATTAAAACAATAGGCAGAAATGTCAGGTGGTTAGTCGCCCGCTTAATTGTATCATCATTAATAATAGCCGAGAACTAATTTGAACACATGCGCCCAACTCCGCTGTCAGACACAGGCATTTTAATATTCAGTGAACTCAATACCTGAAATGTTCGTCAAATTTCTCTCTGCATGCTGAGATTGCGATGTGTATACATTTACCATGACTCAAACCATTATTTTCTAATCAAAGCGACCTTTATTGAGTTGCAGTTCTGTGTGACGTTGGCGTAAAATAATAACTCTGGACACTGCCAATTCTCTTCATTTCAGATGCAAACTTAATTTTTTCAGTTACGCAGCAGAAAAAGGAGTATAGGTGTTAGGTTGAACATAAATCAAGTTAGTATTTTTCTCCATCCAAGTAATCCCTGGTGGGACGGTTAAGGAAACAGCGTGAAAAACAATCAGTCATTATTCAGTCGTAGATATACCTGGAGGAATTACTAAGGTCCACCGAGAAATGGGATATTGTATACCGTATATTTCTCACAGACAAAACAGCTTGAACAAGTTAGGTCAATCTCCGCTATTGCCAGTGGTTTGGAGGGTTCACATCCGTCAATAGTTGATCAAAAGTTCTGTCTGGTTATTTTCTTCAATTGTAGCCATTTTGTATTTTCTCTTTTCTCAGACTGAAATTTGCAAGTCTTTAAAAACGTTAAAAATATAGAAATGCAGGTATTGTAAATTCTACAATAATTTAAAATATGAGAGAAATATCGGTAGTGATGAGATATAACTCTCCTAGAATTGAGTAATAGCAGCAGAAGTATGTATTGATAATTCAAAATTGGCGACACCCAAGATGGCAAACGTTAAGCACAGAATATAATCTAAATTACATTTGCATCTTATCTAAACAAACATATATCCTGCTAGGAAATTTGTCAAACACTTGTGAAAGTATTCACGAGGCAAGAATGTTACATAGGTAATGAGACTTTGTGTACTTTTTAATACATGATAATGGCATTTCATTTTGGATAGTGTTAAGTGTTTAATTTTTCATTAAGGTGGCACTGGCCTTGTCTATTACCCAGTCGGTAAAATAGAATTAAAATATACAGATCGGAAGAAAGCATCGTATGTATAGGAGCTAGATAATTGTTTTAGCCTTGTCTTCAACTTGGCTGTCTCGCAGACAGATGGGGCAACATCTCCATATCAAGGCATAATCTCTGTATGTATCTCTGCGTTTTGAACTTATGTGATCATTTGTAAAATCTGGCGTTACTATTGCTAGTGAAGTAAGCGCATTTTTGTTAAAACCCATATGAAGAGGCTGTATTTATGAAACTATCTAATCCATGAACCATGACATTTGGCTGTTGTAATTGATTTTGAGTCGAATTTTTCTGTCTAAGAGACGAAGATAAGCACATTGTTGCACAGAATGTAGTATATGATCCGTATATCTGGTGGCATGTGATCAATACTTGGAAAACTCAATGTACTTCATGTTGGTGCCTCATGTAGCATGGGGCGGGTAATGATGTACAACCATATTACTGTTGGGTTAAATTTACTGGAAGTCATTTAGATAAGCTTTGAAAAATGAGACAGTTAGGCAACAACAGGCCGCCAGGATTCATTCGTGTGTTACATTAAGAGGGCCAGTTCACCCATGATTTCCCTAATGTGCAGTGAAACATGTAGTTCGTTTAATATCTCCCTTTTGTGCTTAAATTGGGGATATCACCCGTTTCATCTGTAATGGTTTGTTAAGGTAATTTCATGTCATTTGTTCCCTTTGCTGATCTGTTAAACGCAATGGCATTAGCACCTTGTGCAATATAGCGCGTTCATGATGATGTCTTTAATGTCTCTACGCTCCAAGGAGATGTAGACAGCCTTGTGTTTCATATGTGCCAATCTCATATCTAAACAGTTCACTAGACCGTGAAACACTAACCTACACGAAGGTCTAGAGACGGACACAGTGAAATCTGCCAAAGAGACGATTATAGTGAAGGTTTTGTGGATTGATGTAAAAAAATATCAATCATCTGCAACGCGCTTTTACTATATAGCCTAGAAAATGAGTGAACCTTGATGTCACACCTCACAAGGAAAATCCTATAGAGTATTATCGAGGGCTTCGTAATCATTGTTTTCGTGACGTGGGCAGTAACATGATTACACGCTCTATTGATTTGTCTCAGACAAAATACATTTGAAATGAAGTAATTCATAGCCGAAAAGAGGTTCTTACAGATCTACGTTATTTTGAATTGATAAGAGAATTGTGAAAGCACGAGTTTCAAACCCCTTGCGATTCCGTCGATGACATAACAAATCCGTCTCGTATTCGATTTTATTAGGAGCCAAGCTAAGAGACCGCCCAATCATTTTCGTACTGGAGATAAATTAAAGTGATATGACGGTTTTGTCTCTAAGCGCGATAATGGACTTTTCATGGCATGTAAGTAACGAACACAGGGACAGAGTAACACTTTTTTTGCAACTTGACTCTCGGATCTTCAACGATTTTAGATTAATTAAAAAGATATGTACCAACCCTTCTGGAATCTCAGCCTTGCCAGCGTTCATTTTGGGTATTCGATCTTATTAGTTTGACTTACCGATAAACGTAGACTACATTTGTCATATAGACGAACATTAGTGGAGATTTATACTGTATCTTATGTTTTCGTCATCGAACAATATGCGCCCTGGAATATTTTATCTATGAACCGCTTATTATAAAATATTTATTCTCTGTCACGCGACTTATTGAATACGCACTTGCATTAGTCCACTTTGCTTTCTGTAGTATAGGGTCGGACTTTATATTACTGACTTTCATGTTTCATTTGTTTTACTGGCAATCGATACGGCCATACCAATGTGGCCATCTAGATAACAGATAACAAAAATGATGTCGATAGCCTGCATAGATGCATCTTTCGACTAATGTGTTTGATGCACCGCACTGTCGCAGCACGGCTTATAAAAATGTCGTTCGATTGGTCTTAAATCATATCAGGTTGCATTTAATTAAAACATCGAAGACTTCAAATGTTTGGTGATAAAAACCACCTTCGCAGTAGTGAATCTTGGCATGATTCGAAAAAAAAAATGCCCAAATCAAGTTTTGGCCAAAGTTAAATTCTGTTTATTAAATGTGGAGTAGTAGATTCCGATGCTGCAGCACATTTTTCTCTCTGTGCCTATAGTTCAGTCTTTCTGTCTCTCGGGATTTTTAATAGAGAAATCAATGATAAGTGTTCACTAGCACACGAAACACAAACACACACGCAATATTGCTTTCCATTTGTCTACATCAATTGTTTTTACGGATAAATCTTCAAAGAAAAATTTAATCAAGCTTATAACAGTTAAGTTGACGTGGATGGTGGTTCGTTATTTTTATGTACAGTTTATGTTGGTTAAAGTACGTTTTGCCTGAGACTACACTTCGTTTATACTGAAAAATGTTTGTGTGGAACAATATATGCACCTTTTAAATGGCTTCATATGTATCATTGCACCCAGATATTTTAGACACCAATTCATATTCAAGTTTACTTATTGATAACGTCTTATTTCTCCAACAAGTTTGTATGACAAGTTGCCTGTCCCTGTAAATAAGTAATACGACGTTTATATGGGTTAGGTTTATTGATCACTCGCGTTTAGTACTTTCATTTCAACTCTTCTACACGGCTACAAGAGATAAGCTCCAAATGATTCAAAAAGCAACTTTCCTGACCATGCTTTGTAGATAATGCATAAGTTCAACGTTATCTTGTTTTAAATGTACTGTAGAGAATAGACAGAAAAAAAGGTCCGCATTTAACCAGGTATAAATTGAAACCCTCTGTGGTTACCTGGTGGCGCGCAATGAAATAAGTCAGTCTGACATGGGCGGGGAAAGGATACTATAATAGATAATCCTAAGTTGATGTACAGACGCCCTCTCCCAGTAACACGAATATTCTTGTTACTCATGTATGTTTTCGTTACTTTTTTCCAGTGTCTGACCGCACAGTAGAACGCTGTGAACTGATTTAGACCTCAACTCGAGAAGACAAGCTACAGCGCTGAAGTTATCTTTAATCAGTGGAAGCGTGCTGTGTGAGACAAATGTTTCCAATCTAAGGTTTTTAATGGTTCAACACGGAAGGAAATGACCGTCTGCCGACCAGCCTCATTGGCTTGAACAACTTGCTTAACTGACTTAATGGATGACTGATTGATATAACAAAACATTCAACTAGTAAGAGGATATTACTCAACTGAAGTCGAGCCAATATAAAGCGTGCATATCCAGGACATGGCAATGAGTGGGGACAGTGGTTCACCAGAATTGGCAGCTCCAGATTTGACCAGGTCTAAGAACTGGCAGCCAGCTGTAATGTTGAAGAAGTTTGGAAGGTACGGCAAGGAAAATGGTTGCTTGCGTTACCCAAGTGGTATTTCGGTGGCGGACAACGGACTGATATACGTCGCTGACAACCGGCTCAATAAGGTGCTAATATACGACATCGAAGGCTCTTATATTTCTTCGTTTAATTGTAGTGGTGCTGCGTCCGTCACTGCCCTACGGGACGGCAACCTTGCCATAGCGTCTTACACAGGGTCAACGTGGCTCAGTGACTCGTGCGGACTACACGTCTTCACCCCTGATGGCCAGTGTGTGCAAGCTTTTAAGAATGTCCCCGCTGCCACCAGCGTGGCCGTCAATGCCAACCACGAGTATATCATAGTGGATCCAGTGGAGCAATGTATCAGCGTGATCAACAGCCACGGGGACATTGTCCGGCAGTTTAACAGAACTGGGAGAGGGGAGGCCAAACTGCCCTTTGCCTTGACTGTGAACAGTAGAAATGAAATAGTGGTTTCTGACACTTCTAATAACTGTGTCAAAGTTTTTAATAATTTGGGTGTTTGTTTGAATCAGTTTGGACAAAAGGGCAAATCACAGCACATGACCATGGCCATAGCACCGGACGGTTCCGTCATTCGTTTCAATAAACCAAAAGGGATTTGTGTGGATTCCACTGACAACATATACGTGGCAGACAGTAAAAATGGTCGAATCCAAATGTTCACCCCCGACGGACAGCATCAGAGATCGATTTTGATGTCTAGCCCCAAATTCTTCAGAAAGACTGTGGCACCGGAAGCCGTTGCCATGGCACCGACAGGTGAATTGTTGGTCTCCTGTGTTGGTGATTTTACGGAAATCCGAGTTTATGCGTTGTAAACCTTTGATTGAGTGGCTGGCGAATTTCAAAGGTTGTGAAACGACCTGTTGTTAAGATTTTTGACTGGTTTTCATTGTTGTTTTTCTTTTACGGAAACACTGGTTACGAAATGGCGTAGCCACCAGAAATTTGTTCAGTAAATTAAATTCCTCACTTTAAGGAATGGCTTGGATACACAGTCGTAATACAGTTTTTTAAGCTTACAATTAGGTGCAATGAATAAAAAGAACGGACGCCAAAAATTAAAGACATTGTTGGTTTTACTGATTAAGTAAGGCTGTTCAGGCGTTTTCATTAGCTTAGGAAAAACAGGAACTTAATCTGCCTTACGGAATAATTGGCTCGTGTGTTGGCATAAACAATATGGGAAAGTGCCCGCATTCTACCCATATGTCCATCAACATACCTGCAAGGTATCCTCAGACAGCAATGTTATCTCATATACTGTCAACGCAACACGTTCTGAAAGCCATATAATGACCCATGGTCGGCTTGCCATTAATACTATATGTGGAGGCTCTAATAACTGATTTTCAATAGCACCTGGGCTCTTTTTTTCCTGGAAAAGACATTCTGCAATCCATACTTATTGGAATGCAAGCAGACCGCAAGGCTAATTTCCTTTATTGCTTGCCTGAAACTTACCTTACCTGCGCTTTGATGTCTTTGCCTTCTAGTACTAGATGTACAGAAAACTTGTTTTTTATCATACCTTGGTGTATGTTTTGAACGCACACACATTATGGGTATTTATATTGCTTTCGTATTATATGTACAAATAAAATACAGCTTATTTTCAAATACAATTAAAGATCATCCTTATATTTGAAAGATGTTTTTTTATCATTTTGAATTATTTGTACGTGTGATAGAATACTAGTATGCAAATATTGATCCAAAATTCCAATTAGAATGTTTTATCTTTGTATTTCCTTGGCAAGTGTGTACTCACTAAAGCTAAAAAAAGGGATATTAAAGGCAGTATGGCGATTTACAGACTTTATTATGAAAAATTAGATAACATGTATTGATATATACACGGGTACAGTACGACACGTATAAAATTAGTAAGTGATGTGTCTGGATTTTTACTTTCCTCACTAACAATACTTATCGTGTGTGTGTGTGTGTGTGTGTGTGTGTGTGTGTGTGTGCATTAGTTTAATTTTTGCTGTACTGTACACACTTGTATGTCAAGACATTTTATCTAGCTTTTCATGATAAATATTGATTCATTAAAAGTGCACACTTTTAAAACAAAAAATACTAATATGTTGTTAAAACTGCGAAGCCAATAAGCGAGAAATTATGATTTATATTAAACAGCGAACAACACATATTGCAGGATCCAAATCTTATCTTTTTTTAGAATCACTAATGCAATGTGAGGTTTGGGCAGATATATAGGGTGTAGATCATATAAGTGTAACCAAAGTTGATCACTCTCAAATTACTTTTTACTGGGAAATTATCCACATTGGCGTTTATTTACCTAATCTTGGCGAACATATCTAGCTTTTTCTTCAGCGCTTGTAATATAGTAAAGGTGCTTTGGAAATTGGCATTTCCCCAAACCTGGAGAGTTAAACCAATAAACGTTTCATTTGCCGTCTCTCAGGAGATGGAAAAGTTGAAATTACCAGAGCTTCGGGTTGTGATCTTATCTCTGAAGCCATAAAGTCACTCAAAAATATTGGAATTCTCATCAGGCAGAAAAGACGAATCATATTGCGACATCCGATGAGCTTTATTCAATCCAAAACAGATAGTGTAACCATATTTCTCTTGGTGATTTTGCATCTTATTGAATCTTATCGTTATGTCTTTTTTCGTATTGCATGTCTACATGCCGTTTCCTTTATGAGCTGAATATCCACATGGTATTTTCGAGTGATTGCTTTTCAGTCTATTCACAAATGATAAATTGATCGGAAGCAAAATTGTATCGCGGCAGCTGGGTTATTAAGGCTCAAGTCTTTCTACTTTACACTAAGTATGAGTTTTAACTGATGTTCGCCTTATCTCATACCAAGTACAAAACGACCTCAACGCGTGCATTGCCTACACTCGTATTGTGTCAGTAAATTAAACATTGTTATGATTGGTGTGAGCCACTGAAGAGGTGCCAATTAATATCCAATCAAATAAAGCTACCACACTTCGTACGGGTTCGTTCAATGTTGCTATAGCTGCATGTATGTATGTTGTAGTACTTTCAATTCGGAAATTGCCTGTGCGTCTAGATTCCAATGAAAATAAAAGCATCAGACACCGACTTTTATTAATCATACGTGTAAAAATGACTCACTTGAATAATTAAAAAAGAGAGAGAGAGATGAGCTCTTTCAAAAAAAAAAAAAAAAAAAAAAAAACACAATGTGGCTATGATTGAATGTTGGAGATTCAGAATAAGTATCACCAGTGGCAACGGCACTTATTGGTTTTTATTTATTGCGTGATCATATCTTATATTTCATCTGTATAGGAAGTATGGTTTGAGAAATAAATTCAAAAGATTATATCCCCATTGTTGGGCCCTATGCGTTTTATTAATCGAGACTACGGAGTTCGCTGCAAGCTGCCATGTTAACAAGATCAGATTATGAGGGGTATGTTTATTGAAACAACCAATGTACTGTAACAAAATTTAAAAATGTATAAAATGGTAAAAAGTACAGAATAAAACGCCTGCGCGTGCACTGTGCATACTGCATTTAACGAATGCGAAGGAAAAGTAAAGATGAATAAAAGATTAATCTAAATGGACCATTTCCACTTCAGATCTCTTTTTCAGTGTTGAAGAAACTGCCCCTGCTTTTAAAAAGTGCGAATGTTGCCGGGAATTTTAACTGGTTCATGCATCCATTAAATATTGCGATATCGCCTTCTTCTCATGTGGATGACTGGCAACCTGGGGTCAAAACTTGGCAGTTATACATGTATTCTGTGGAGCCCCAAAGTATCAATATTTTTAAAATTTTGAATCTAACCTACCTAGACTATAACTTAAAGTTCCTATTGGAGAATGGTGATTCTCTGGTAGGGGTGATCCGGCGTCATTCTTACCCAGGTTATCCATGTTGAACCTGGGGATGTGCAAAAATCAGAAACTGTCGGGCAAATATTTTTTCTGTGGCACTACTTTTCTTTAGTGTTGGAAATACAATCATTTATCTGGTGACTATGGCTACGGCTTATTTAGATAGAAAAAGTAAGCTTTCTCTAACAGATTCGCACTAGTTCCTCAACTCCTCAACAGAATCAATTAAGAAATCTGATAATTTGCCACCGCCTCATACCTTGGATACCAGCAGAACGCTAGACGGTCTACTTAACCGGACCATGATACCCATCAAGTGATTTTATGTTGCATCTCCGGAGAAACTGATTTCCACAATCACGCACGTGAAGGTGGCGCCCGAGGGCAGATAAAAGGCTAACGCCAAGGGGGTTCAACTGTCTTCTGAATCAATGTTATTAATATCTTGCCTTTTTTATTTGCCGAAATGAGGTAAATTCCCTTTGGTTTTTGGCCAGCTGTCATTTCTGCAGCTTTCCCCTTCAACTTACTTGAGATTGGACACCCAGCGAGTCCAAAATTATACCTTTGATATGCACGCAATACATTTTGTAATTTGGTTCTTTTAAAGGCATAACAGCTGTTCATTTGGGCCAAAAAATGAATTTTCCTGGAGTAAACAGCAATTTAACTATACTTACCAATGGTTAATGAATCCATTTCTACATTCAAAGTTAGTCCCTGTTTTTTTTTCTAAAAAGTTTGCTTTTTTGTAATAATCTCTTAAGAGATTATTACAGAGTATAGCCATCTGTGGAGGTCACGTGGTCGGATGGCAAGCACATATTTCAAATTTATTGCTATAACTGCCGTTTTTGTGGTAAAATAGAATAATATTATATTTCTATGAGTAGTTTACAATGTATTTATTGTGAAATATAGATTTCATACGAAGAGTTGTTATCCCTTTAAACTTTTTATTGGCACTGTTAACATAAATTGTTGATAATCATCAATCATCTGTGCGGCATTACAGAAATTAATGTTACTATTTGAGATGACTTTCTCTCAAGTCATATCTAGACTTATAGAGCATATGCATAAGTGTCTGTCAGTGCTTTGTAGGGGATGCATGTAGAGAGCACCATTTAATCGGGGTTCTTGCAATTATCCAGGCGGGACTGAAACAGATTTTGGAGTTTGAATATAACTTAATCTAAAAGAGGTACACTAAATATTAATCTCATTTTCAAACCCATAGACGACGTCTGGCTTTATAACCTTAGGTCATGTCAGGCGTAAATATGGGACGTTTTCTTGTCGCTGCGTTATTCCGTCAAGGTATCATAAATGCTGAATTACATTACAATGGTGTTGGTTACATCGGGTATATATTATTTCTTTCCCAGTAGAATGGAATTTAAGAATATTTTCAAAATTTAAACGGTTTGCTTCTTTTCCTCTTTTGTGTAGGCGATACAGTGCTTTGCACGGCTACCCTTTTTTTTCAGAAACCCGCATCAGTAAATGTCACCTTATGCACTATATTACATGATTCCAGACAGTGCTTTAGTCCATGAAATTGACTGAAAATTTTTACTGTTGCGGTATTATGATATTCGCATTGCACCAATTTAGGTTTTTACATTTCCTTAAACCCTTGGATGATAAATGACATCTAACACACCTATTTTGTTGCCTTCTTTTATTGAAATCTCGTGTTCCCATTAAGCTAAGTGGCTTGATGCAATAGAAGTGTTGCAATATAATTATGAAATAGCTGCAACGAAACGCTTGTTCCAACCTTTTTCTTTTCCATTTTTTTTCACCTGTAAATGTAATACAGTACCATACCTAATCCAATCCATAAGCTCTACTCCGTTGTGACCATTGGATTTCAATTGTACGGTAGGGGCCTACACGTTTCAGGCCTTGTGGGACACTTTGAAATTGGGAAGCATTTTTTCCGCAGTTTTGTCAAGTTTTGCTTTTGGCTATAACCGCCATAAAACCTATTTTAATGCCACGATTTAAAACACTTGTTGTGTTTTAATCTCACAAATTACAATTTTAAAAATCTTTTGCAATCCTTTAATCAATGAACCAAAAAGGGTATAGTCATTTTAATCAAAATGTGCATGTATATTTGCTCCTCCAAATACTAAGATCCAGATCACAAACAAATGTAGATATGTATCGTAAAAGATGTTTGATAAAACATCCTCCCAATATCCCATACATCCGCTAGGAGGCAATCAAATCGCGCCCCTATACGGGTATGTGACGTTAATCTTTTACGGATATCTGAGAGAGTTTGGAGTCTGAATCCATCTGTGACTGTTTTATAATACAATACTACTGCTGAAAGCATGTGAAAGATGATACCGTGAATTATCTTATTTTTATAATTAAACATCAAAATTCAGCTCTTGACGAAGTTCTAGACATGAAGCAGTTTGAATAACTACAGGTGTGTAAAAAAGAAAAAAAGTGGATATGCACATCCCATGCAAGATATCAGCCAAATACAGCTTTCAACAAATTAGATTTATTTTCAATTTTATATTTTAAGGAAAATAAAACTGAAAAATAATTGCGATGTCACTAAACGAGAGAGGAATTTCACCCCTGCCGTTCAAACACGATTATCATTTTTTTCGGATAATGTATTTTGTTTTACGCCTCTAAGCTAGCCTCTACACGGTTATCCTGTTAATCCGAGTACAACAGCATGCACGAGAATGAGTTAACAGTTTATGTACAAACAGCATCAGTCTGATTTGTCAGAAGCTCTCACACCTTCTCATAAAAATTCTCCATTTTGAAATCACAACATGAATGAAAGAAATAGATCCTGAATAGGTGTCTTTTCCCATGGATACACATTACAAAAGTTCCACGAAAATGGATATGGAAGAAAATCCATGAGACTTTTACTCAAGTGACTCTCTCTTGGTATCAAGACAGATACATAATGGCCGTCAAAGATGTTTATATATTTATATGTAACATTTACCTTTAAATAATCTTAATGGTTGACCAAGAGCAACATCATGCTTTCCACCATTCTGATGCCACTACTGTTACAGCACAGAAACATTTAAATGGACACTTATGTCGCAACCTTTAAAACGAACAGGGTTAAGAAAAAAAACAATATGTTTTAAATCATCCTCAACACCTCTTGGTTCCTGGTTTGAATGTTACAGTGGGACCAGGAGAAGATTCCTTTTGAAGACATTGTGCTTGGTGAGACGTGGATTGTGCTTCGTCGTGTTCACCGTTTGTGGTGTCTTCGACTATAATCGTGATTCCTTCGGCACTGTTCGTAGATTCTTCCGGTGTCCTTGACATTTCATACTCGTGCTCGTGATCACGATGTCGAGAATGTTTGTGATGGTGTGCGAAAGGTTGCAAAGAAAAACGTCTATGAGTCGGCTTTCTTCCGCCTCTGCGCTTCGATATATGAGGATTGTCTTTTCGCATAGATTTTGTTTTAAAGATTTGCAGCTGGGTGTAAAGTCTCTTTAATTCTCCCTGAAAATAACACGTAATATAGCAAAGATACAAAAGAACACAAGAACACAAAAGAACAGACATTGATTCATTTAAATTAGTCTATTGACCCAATTAGGATAAGTGGGCCTCAACTGACGTGAATTTTAAATAAAAGAACAATGCGCTGTTGGCTGACTATTAGCCTAAGAACCTATCGTCGAAACTTTTGTCAGATCAAAAAGAAAAACATATTGGATATTGGGAATTTTCAGATAAATCAGCAACCACTTCACTAGTACCTTTATCTCTTCTGGATCCATCTCTGCAATGTTCATGTCCGTCACCTCTCCGTTAAGAGTCAGACCCATTCGGAGCTTGGTGATTTCATCGACGTCTGAGAACGCCCTGCCCCTGAAGTCCGTCTTAGGTGGTCGATGAGTGTACCAAAGCTACAGCAAAGAAGAGGAATAACATCCTTATTACACACAGCTGCTCTCCGTGGCAATTATCAGTAAATAATACTTTTGTAACCCAAGTAAAAACCAATGACTAATTAGATCAATCTGTCAGTGATGTCATTTAGACGAGTTTTAAACCGATTTTCTGATATATTGCAAAGAATTATATTAATGGTTGGAAATAATTCTGTTTTCTTTGTTTCAAATGTGCAAGGAAAACCACAATGTCTATCAATCCAAAATAATAGTTTGAAAAGGAAAACGCGTTCCAAGAATGACAGATACCTTTGGCCCGAAGACCAGCACCAGAGTCACGGACACCGTTAGATGGCAGCGGAGGAAGTACATGAGGAACATATAGTCAGGATGCAGGATCGTTAACAAAAAGTGTCTGCAAAGGAGAAACATCGGTCTGTTTCAAAGTCAGGAAATTTAGCAGTACAAGACGATTTTACTTGCAATTATTTTACAAGAATTATCAGAAAACGATATATAAATAGGCCTATACAATCATTGATTTTGCCCAAAACCATTTGCTCAAAACCATTGGCCAAATTTCTGTTATTAAAGGTTATCAGGAATTACAGTACACCAGAGATTTATGTTGGCTTGTATTTTTTTTTGTTACAAACACTTCTTTCAAATCGGTGTTGCGATAAGAAACTGGCATTGATAGCCGTTAATTGCGTTACCTGGCTACATGTAGTATGGCTGAGATGACGGTTTCGTTATAAATGGCCCAGGAGATGTATCTGGTCTCTGCAAACAGTGATGGTGCACTACGTATACAGTAGCAGAGGTAGATTCCACAACATAGGAATAGAAACTCCGCTGGAACAGAATTATATTCATATGTATCATGTATTAAGATACAAGCTCTTAAGCAAAAGATCTATTTCAAACACACTGTGCAAATGAATTACATATTTTCTGAGAAGTACGATGTTTGATACGGTAGTGTAGAATGATTTTTTTCTGTACTAAGTCATTCATTTGAAGGTAAATTTTTAAGTATAAGTGTATAACTTATTAAGTATAAATGGTCCTTTGTTAGTCTTACAAGACATCTGACAATTTGATGAAAATGTAGATATGTCGTTATTAAGAGGGAAGCACCAATCGTGACTTTACTGTGAAAAAACTCCAACGTCAATGGCTATGAACAAAACACCCTATGATATGGCACCCCCTTAAAAGCAATCCTAAAAAACATAATTAGAACCCAGCCCCTTATATAATAATCCCAAAACCGATCCCTGTCTATTTCCACTGAGATAATATAAATAACAAGAACATTCCTTTAATCTGTTTAATGCCATATTCGTGTTCCAACATCATTAATCTTCCCGGGAAACATGTCATTGGCTTGTCATATACTTTTTATATGGAAAACGCAGGCTCTTTATTGCAGTGTTGTCTTAATTAACGTGCAAAGTTGCTGTAAATTCCATAAATCGATAACACTGAGTGGATAGTTCTATTAGATATATTTCGTAACCGAATTTTTCACAAAGTACGGGACATACTGATTGCATTTCTGTCTTAAATTGCTCTGTAAGTGTCTCTTGACCTGGCACACAGGCGATATTTCTTTATGAAATAAAGCTTCAATCAGGACAAGGAATAAATGGCAATTTATAGGTTTGTTAGAGTAGGATGTGATAATATTAGAACAGCTGAGCAATGCTTGCGATTACATATTTATGACATAAGCAGAGCGATAACATTCTGATCATTTGCCCATGATTGGCAGAATTATACATGTATGTTATATTGCGGGTATTGAATTTTCCATATTGCTGCATATTGTGACTTATATTGTTTTAATGCGACACAGCAACTTTTCAGCGCTCTGTCCATACAGACGTCAATAATTATTCGACTGCAAGTGACTTAACAATTTAATGTAACCCATTCCAATAGGAACTCACCGACTTCAATAATATAATCCCACCAATGCGATTTGCAGACGACGAACTGTGTTCCTTCAGCAATCATCCCCATTTCCGTCAGAGAGCTGCCGTCGTGCTCATGCTGGAAATTAGCCGCAGTCCACGCGCACATATACCCTAATACAATTATCACCAGCCCTAAAAGGTACTTAAGTAAGTCTTTGTCTCGTATATGGACGCGTCTGGCCCTCCGCGTCTGAAACTCTGCAAGAAACCTAAAAATACAAAGCGATAATAGAAATAAGTCGGATGTTATCTTGAAAAGAAAGAAATCAACCACTAGTCACAATCACATTTGACAGTATCGAGAGCATCTTTTTTAAATCAATGTCAGTCAAATGAGAATACACAGTAATAGCTGATCAATACGGAACAAAACACATGTTAATAACTTTAACTTTTTATTCTCGTAAATATTTTTTTCTATCGATATTCTGCCCCTTTAGGACATCTAAATCTATACATGTAGCAGGTCAATGTTCTGTACCTGTAAATTTTCAAAATAAGTGCCCCAAATACTATAGCAAATCCTACTTCTCTAAACCACGGGACCAATATACAGGTCAGAGTCGTAGGCTCAAAGTATTGGACAACCACCTGGAAATATAGTATATGATGTCATCCGCACATGAAAATGACGTAAGCAATCAATCATAAATCACGCAATTTGTATTTTACAGTCGCACTGCATAAGTACTATACTGAATTTAATAGATATACAGTACTTATATGTATGAGAATGCTTTTCTCAATAAAAGAAGGACTGTCAATATATGCAAGAAACTGCTACATGTACCTTTAGAAGGTACAGTATGTGGTTTTAAATTAAAACCGTCCTTGGTAGCCGTATAGCAGGGATATCTTAATTATAATATGGCTGGCTCTTGTAACAATAATTCCCGAATTTTTAGAAGAGGAACGGGGGAATATTGTATAGAATAATGTCCATCTTTATTTTAAGATCCTCAGTCTGTCGTGCATACAAAAGAGGAAGGCAATGAACAGTGACCTTTGTAATGATTCAAGAGAGGTGCACTTACCGAAGTGTACATAAGTAGGGCTCCAAACAAGATGATTTCCAACATGATCCACATACTTACTTTAATGGCCTGGAAACAATACAGACGGTTAGTCTGTGCTAATTCAAGAATAAATAAATAAATGAAATAATGAACAAATAAGAAAATTCATTTCATTTATGAAATAAAGATACGAAATAAAATACAACTAATTACATTCAGTCGGAAACAAGCGGATTTGCGAATACCCTGGCACCAATTGGCATCGATTGAACATATTCCATATACCAAAATATAATACACTTGAGTTTCCTCAATATTCTCACCTTCTTCTTTCGTATGCGAATAATAACAATGCCAATTATAAGAACAATCGTCATACAGAAGCTCTGTATTCCCAGCGGAATGCCTCTCATCAACCGGAAGTCATATTCTACAAGACAGGGACTGTCGTCAACGCATTGGTCACAACCTCTCTTGCATGGAAGACACTGGAACTCCTCACTAAAGCTGGAGTTCTTGTTTTTTTGAAGGTCACTGAAGTAAACTCTCTCCATTTCCAGCCCGTCAAAATAGGAGACGTTGGCAGTAATGTTGGGGAAGTAGTATCCCTTCTTACATTGGCACTTGTACGCTCCCACACTAAACCCCCGCCCGGGGATAGGAATGCACTGGAAATGAAACAGTGTGGCCAATGAGGAACCGCCATTATATACCCGACTGTCCAGCATTATCATCCAAAATCTTACTAAGAAAGTTCTAGATATTAGGTGAAAGACAAAAAAATTAACTCCATTTTGACCCGGGATACATCAACAATATTTCACAAATACATAGCAAACTGTCCAAAACAATAGCCATTTCTTATCTTTGGTAAAACAGACCAAATACTTTTCTTGTAACCTCACCCAATGAATGCAAGAGCTAAGGTAAAAAGGTGAGTGAGATGCCAAGCAAGAGTGCACCTATAAAGCGTATAAATACAGTGTAAAATTGTCCTTATATTAAAGTACACTAGAACGGGCCGCGAGTACATCGGATGTGGCATGTGAAATATCATGGTCCTTGTACGGGGCCCTTAGTACTGGGTATGTGGCATGTGAAATATCATGATCGTGGAACTGGGCCAAAGCGCTAGGCACGTGGAATTTCATGGTCCGGGTGTGGGGCCAGAGTACTTGGAAATGTCACGTGAAACACCACGGTTCTTGTTGCTCGTACGGGGCCTTGGTGCTAGGCATGTGGCATGTGAAATATCACGGCCCCGACACGGGGACTTGAAGCTGGGCATGTGTCATATGTTTGGCAGGACCCAGTGACGTTTATTAACATTCCATTATGTTACTAAATTGATACAGCTAGTCCAGCTGCAACTGATATCGGTATTGTTGTGATTCTCTGAGAATTGATGATTGAATGATATCTATATACGCCTTATATTCATGAATTTACTTAAATGAAACGGGCATAATATGGGGTAAGGTATACTTTTTTATTAGTTAAATTCACGTTTGATATAGAAGTTAATCGCACTGAGTTCACTACAGGAAAAGCAAATTTAGAAAAATGACAATTGCTCTACAGTATGACGGGTTAGTTTTATTGGTTTCCATTTGCAGCATATTAAATGGGTATCGGCGCGTTAGACCCAATGTTCTCAACCCCGTATATCATGTGTAAGACACAACATATTAAAGTCACTGTCACTATTTAGAAAACTCAATACCAGCTGCGCACTGAACTAAACTGTTACAAAATTACACAACACACAAGAGAGTTGCAAGATGGATGGAAGCCGAATTCCTTACAAACTCCTTTTTGTCCGATTTCTCTGGTGACCTTTAATTAAAAGTATGAACTGGTTCATCTATCACCACTCTGACACGTTCGACTGGATGATCATTCTTGAAAAACGTGTAAAACACTGCACCTTCATCGATATCAAAGCCCGAGGAGAGGAAGCAGTGAATGTGATAGGTGCGGGACGCGATTTCCCGCAAGGATAACAAACATACAGGAGCAGTTCCATATGTGACATGATGGCGTTCTGATGGTGTAATTGCAGAGCGTTACTTTGAAATTCAAAGTTCCATGTATCATACTTAGTTGCCGAAATATGGGAATACTTGAAGTGGTTTTTTATATTCTATCAATACAGTGATTGCTCAATTAGATACATTTACGCTTGTATTTCCATACTAAAATAACCGCGTTGACGACTGGGGGAGTGACATAGGCCTATTCTAACATTTTAGATTGTTTGACATGAACTTTTGGTCAGTTTATTTACGTTGTAACTTTGTTGTATATTTCCTAATATTTCAGCACGTATGCTATGTCACCATATATCATTTAACTTAATTGGTTTGCCTACCTTGGTGGTTTCCGGTTGACATCGGTTAGTTCCACTAAAGAAATCCCCATGTGCGGTGCACTGGTTGATATCATGGCGTTGCAAGTCGATGTGGATCGCAACAACACCCCTGAAATAATGGTTGCAAATTAATCTTAAAAATACAAGCCGTTTTTGGCAGACTTGCTCTGCATGCAATGGTCGTCTTCATTCCAAAACATTGCATTGGGAAGTGCCTATCTCTGGTGCTATATAATAACAACCAAACCGCAAGGTGTGCATTTTAATATTAGACTCATGCCACACGCTTAAACCACATGAAAAGCGTCATTTCTGTGAGAAAATACATAAGACGTTTTGAGAGAGAGAGAAAGAAAGAAAGAGTGAGTGATAATTTTCATATGTTCCTATCATACGTCCGCAAAGTCCATATTACGTTTTGTGCCTGTGTGTGCGTGTGCATATATATCCGCTTTATACATTCACATTGTTGAGAGTGTCTCCATTGCTAATCGGATTTTGTGGTTTAACCTGGATAATATCTTTAAATCATAAACTGAAGGATCAGACACGATGCAGTTCGAACTTAACAACGTCGATGTTCATATTGTCTGATGTTTTTGACACAAAATCACCTTTTTGTTGTGAATTTCAACTAAAGAGTAACCCGCGTGCAAGTAAACGAATCGCAAAAAATGTTACTTGGCTATTTGGCTATGTGTGCACCTCTGTCAATCACATAATGTCTACATAAATAATCAGCCTAGTAGGTATTTTAAAAATGGACCCACATTTTGAATCAGAAAGCCTACAAACACACAATTAAATAAAAGTTACCCAAGATCACACAACAGAAACTTACTTGTTGTGTGATACATTAACCCTAATACAAACATTTCCTGTAAGATTAGGGATATTATTCATTTTTTTCAAAATCTAAATAATGTTCAATCTTTAACAACGTTTTTTCAACTTTTACTCAAAATTTAATTTAATTTCCAAATGCCTTAATTCTGTAGTCTATTGCTTTGGGGTACAAAATTTAGTAACAGTTCATGAAACTTTGAGTTACAAATATTATATTTGTCACTCTAAGAACAAAATCGGTTTCAATTGTTCGTAACGAATACCAACCGTAACAGCAGTTTGTGAGAAAAAAAGCCAAGTAGACCTCAAAGTTGGTTTTGTCTGTATATGGAATGCCCTATAAATCGACATCTTTTAACTGTCATACGACTTTTATGTCGAAAGGTTAAACACGTTTTAGCTAAATTGCGTTCTGATTGTCCATAGAATCAATTTTGCTTATGCACCAATATTTACCCGCATCTGGTTCAATAGGAAGGTATTTGGTTGTAACACAGCAGACGATGAACAGCGCGTGGAGCAGATGACCTTTCAGAGCAAGCGAGGTCACAGAGACTGAAAGCCATAGCCGGATGTGATCAATAGACGGTCGGATAAATGGATTGTTACGATAGATTGAGGCATATTTGCGTCATTTGCGATAAATGACCGGGAGACAAAAGGCCATTAGGATAAAGTCTACTTCATATGGAACACTCGATAAATGTTGTGCAGGGGTTTGTCATTTCAGTCGTCTGGCAGTGGAGCACCTTAACTACTGGGTTAGTGTAGCTAGGTGTGAGCTTCCGTTTGGAAGAGTGGCAGTCCATTAAGAAAATCTACTCAATCTAAAAAAGCGCAATGCTGCTTCCTCAGCAAACAGTAAAAACAACACTTGACTTACAGGGAAGACAAGAAATCTATATCATCTTTCACAACATGAAACTCCACACATAATTACCGCTGTAAAGCCTATTGCACACGCCTACACGCCCAGGTAAACCGGCAGATAAACACCGACAGTTACAGCAAACAAAGGCATACATAAACATTCTTTTTCTCTCTCGTTCTCTCTCACGCTCTTTACAGAAATGCGTGTCTTAATCCGCCTATGTGAAAAACTATATTTGTAAGAAGGTATAGAGATTTGCTAAAAGATTTAGGACTAAGCTTCATGTAAAAGTATATGCCAAAACCTAAACAATGCCGTTTATTAAATTTCTGAAAGCTCATCATTTCCGCTAACATAGAGAAATCTATCACAAGATATGTTTTCTAGCATTAGAGATGATGCAAATAGGCGTACAAGTAAAACTTTTCAAATTGTTTTTACCTTTACCCGCACACATTACCAGGCGTTCAATGATGTAAAAAACATGATGGTAAATAATAAAATGGGATGGTTTCTTCTATACCACATTTCAATACATCTCACTTTTAATTAAAATTGCTTATATTACAAAAAGATCTATCTAGGCGTGCTATTATACAAAATAAAACACATAAGACTTACTAAAAACAATATTAAACATAAGTACTTTAAAGTAAAACGAAAGCTAAAGGATAGAAATCTCGATGAAGTGATTAATTAAGAAATTGAGGCAATATGGCAAAAGATGCTTAATTAGAGAAGGGTTGTCCATAGTTACCACTGGGTCATGAGGATGATATGCTTTTGATACCATAGCAACAGTTTCCAAATTAGAAATGAACAAATTTGAAGTGTCAGCTTAAAACGCAGAACGTCTTTGTAGTACGAGTGGTTCAACGAGTGTTTTCCAACGTAAACTTACATGTTTTATCCATCTTCATTGGATGTGTTAAAGAAACAATTTACCGTTCTTTGTTATACTCTTATGTGAGATGCCATAAAAGGCACAAATCTTTAACCATCGGTTCCTTGTTAACCCTATATCATACCGGATGGGTCGTTTACGACCCCATGGGATTATTAATGAAATACCGATATTTTTTGGAAATTACACAACAGAAGCTTTTTACTAAATCAAAAGACATTTTAATACACAATGCTTGAGAACTACAATATCATTCTATACTAATAAAGGTATCTTAGAGCTAAAAGAAATGGTATATACTTTTTTCAAATCCTTTTTCTTTGTTTCCAGCCCTAGTATAGTTCTCATGATATGTGTCAAAACAAAACTACAATCTGTATAGAATCTTTTTTTTTAAACTTGAAACTAAAATATCATAAACAAATGCAAACAAAAAGGTATTGTATTGCATAACAAAGTAGCAAGTGTCACTGATATCATTTTTATGGGAGACGCATATTTTCAATGAAGTGGGTATCAGAACCCTTTGTTAATGATGTAAGATTTGATAATTTTAGATGCAACTTCATATACAAACTAGTATTCACCGTGAATTGGGCAAAATGGCCACTGAGTTAATCCTATTCAAGGGTCACATATTGCTTTTTTCATTTAATATTCACAGATATGCATGCCTCGGGTGAATTCTGTGCACCTTTCTCTTGTAACCAAAGAGAATTTCTGTATAGAATTAATGCCATCATGCCTTTAGTATAGAGTTGTCACTTAGAGGAATAGTAGAAGAAGTAATGACTGGCTTTCATAAAGATGGACAAGAAGGATAGGCCCCACGAACCTTGAAATTATGAAAACAATTGATCTTTTTCTAATAGAGAAAACGCAATTAGTGACTATTTCAATGAAGGCCTGTCCAGATGGGCAGTGAGAACATTGGAAAGTGAATTTAACTTTTTAAATATATTCTAAAAAGTGTTGAAGATAAGAATGATAAGTTTTAGAATAATATTTTGGGGGTTTCTGCTCGAGCTATATTATCAAGATTGTTTTCAAAGCTATTTTCATTGCTTGTTTCAGGAGAGACAAAATAGAATGTGTCGTCAATACTAATGGCACAGCAGTGATTTACTGACCTAAGTAGACTAGATGATTTATCTGATCAACTCCCACTGCAAAGCAAGTCTTAAGGGTTCCTCACCTGAACAGATTTTACACGGAAATACCAATACAAGATTACACAGATAAGAAGCAGCTACAGAGGTAAAGTTAAGAAGTTCTTGACAAAGACGATACACGAAGAAAAGTGTGTAGATAAAACTGGTGAAACGAAACCACGCTGCAAAATATAAATATAGAAAGTAAATTATATACTGGTATTGTAAAAGTTTTAAAAAAAGCATCAAAGTATTTTAAACACTTGAATACTTTTATATTACTCTAGAAATTGTTTGTCTCTAAACGCATGTAATATATTAAAAAACCTATGGAAGCAGCAGCTGGGCGGCACAATGCTTTACATATATCACTCGATTGAACACAACTCATGCGTCACGCAATTTGTTCAACATGTGCATCAATTAGGAGATTACACATTTCACCATATACACAATGTTTATCAACCTTGTTTCAATATTACTATGCTCTACCGAGCCACATCATTATACAACATTATGTATTCTCGTCAATTCTTCCATGTTTTATTTCACCTTTTGCATCCAATAACAAAAAGCTAGTAATCTACTGATTAAATCATAGGAGCGATACCTTATCTAGCGCCAGGATTTCCAGAACAACATGTTGTTATTTGCACTTGACCCGCATATTCATAACATGCCAAATAGATGCAGTATTTATGGAAACCTTACTGGATAGATGCCTTAATTGTGCATGTATGATAAACTGAAATTGCACGTTTCTGTGTATCTATAACATACATATTATTCTGAAGCTCGAATTAACTGAATAAGAGGTCTGTAACTTACTCTTGGTGGCGGGCGTGTGGGTACTAGGATGCCAAAGAATGTTTTGAAAGTATCTGGTTTCCAGACTTAAATTTCCATTTCTCTTTGTAGCCATCTATTGGAAAACACATGTTTTGCATTCCAGCAAGTCTTGTAAAATCCACGCAGCGTGTTTGTACGTTGTATGCAAGAGGCATCATGCCAGTGGAGCAACTCCTTGGCTTGTGTTATTTGATAAAAGTGTAAAATTCTGGCACAAATTCCAAATACCGGACTACATGGGGTTGTGGTCTGAAGAGCGAAGTATCTAACACTCGTACAATATGATTTGAAATAGATTTAAATATTTGAAAAAAAATGGGGTTATTTCTTTTTTCATTCTCTCATGTAATATTTATGCGGTTTCTTCCCTGCAGAGGAAGGAAGACCTGACCAGCACTGTTGCAAACTAACTGGGTTATATGATATAGATGTTGTAAAATGGGTGCCAGTTGTCCTTGCATTATTACTTCACAGGACCGACGGTTCAA